TTGCTACGCCAAAACCATTGTATGTAAAATTTTAATCTCCATTACATATGAAAAATAAGGACAAGAAAGCTGTATTAGATCTTCTTAATCCAGTCCTGAATGCCATAACATACATGTGTGATGCATCAATGCACATCAAAACAAAACAAAACAAAACAAAAAAATAAAACCTTGCAGTTCAAAACCACCACTGGATTCAACTCAATACACAATATAAGCTTTCTTCCATTTATAGTATCTCCTGTTTGATTCTGCTGTTAACAGAGCACAATGTAAAAGTTCCTTATGACTGCAATTTTTAGTAGCTGATGTATTTTATATCTTAAAGATGTCAAACTAAATGACTTCAAGATGAACCCCTGGGAAGCGAAAAGAGAATTAGGTGAACAGGACAGAACATGGCCCAGTTCTGTGTAAGCACAAAGTTTCTCATCCAGGTGAACCATTCTCTCTCGGATCCTATCAGCTAAGACTTTTTACAGGTAAAGAGAATATAGTTCTGCTGAATTACATATTCCTCCACCCCACTCCATTTTTCTTGCAGGTTTGTTATTTGTTTGGACGTCAAACTTAATTGATGTGACATTGGGATCTAGCACAATAAAGGCTAAAATTTCACTGATGAGGTTCTTGGGTTCTTGGGTTTTGTAAACTCATAAACAAAGGAAGAACTGACAGTGGATCTGTTTTACAACATACCATATCCATGGACAACAAAATGGCATCTATCTTGAAATATGTTATTTACTTTATTAAACGAATAATAGTTTAACCTTAAGGATATAAATTAATTTCATTTCTGAATGAAAATTCATCCAAGGCAAACTCTGAATCTAACCAGTATTTCATATTCTCCAAGGAAGTGAGGTTTTCTGTCTGGCAGGCTGAACTGGATGAGATATGCTTTGAAGCTCTGCATAAAAGCTGAGCTCCTACAGACTGACTCCTTGCTAAGCCTCTTAACTCCTCAGTTTATCCATCCGGCTGCTCGACAGCAGTTTACAGAAGCAAAGCTACATAGTGTAGTTTCAGCCAGGGTGTAAATCAACATCATTTCATCGATTTCAGAGGAGTTATACCAACCTGCAGCATCTAGGAAGTTTACATACCACATCTCTCTTCTCACTGGACTTAACACTGACATCTCCCAGCATCCCCAAGTATTACCAAGAAAATATAGAAGCTCCACCACAGCTTTAAGACTATTATGTGACCCTGCTGATATGAATGAATCTCAGGAAACAAAATAGAAAGCAATACTAAAAACTGAGTGACAGGGAATTGATTTTGCACAGAGAGCTGCAGTAAACAAAACAAACCAGAAAAGTTTCACAGAAAACATGAATGAGGAAGACTAAAAAGAAAAAAGTGATCCAGGTCAGGCCATTAAAAAAATAAAATAAAATAAAAATAAAAATAAAAACAAAAATAAAAATAAAAATAAATAAAAATACCTCATCACAAATTGCTCATGAAAAACAGGAAAAATTCCAAGCAAAGATCTTATCATATGAGTTTACATTTAGCTTTCATCCTCCTTAGAGTTAGCATGCTCAGTCCACAGAAGTAGGGCTTGTAATAAACCTAGTTCATTATAAACTAGATATAAGCTTTAACTACTTATTGGTAGACCAGAGGAATGATGAGAAGCTTGTCACAGTGCTTCACAGAAGAACCACCTGCAGGATACCACCACCGTGCTTATGCCCTTAATGATTTATTCCAAGATGAAATCTTATTTCCACCATGAAACACATAAAACACTTTTTTTTCACTAGGAGAGAAACAGGTTGGTAAGCACAGCAAGGTGAAAAGCATGATCCAAGTGACTCTTGAGCCTGAAAAATCAGGTAGTTATTTTATTATTTTATCACCTAGGATTGCTTTGACATAAGTCTCTCACAAGACCTTTAGTCTTGTTATGAGATATCCTAATTTGGGATAGTTCACAAAACAAACTAATATTTATATGAAGATCAGAATGTAATGCAATAAGGAAAACTTACATGAGCAGGAATAAATGAGCACAGATTTACAAGTTGCAAGTAGAGAACATGAATTAGTTAAAACCCAGAAGAACAGTCTCACAAAATTTTACCTTTTTTTGGTTCACAGCTCTTTTCTCTGCATGTAGTCATTCAGATGTGCTGACCATGCAGACAAAAATCAATTTTTACTGCTTTTTATTTCTATGTGCACTATAGTGCTTAAAGAGCTATGAGAATCTAAACTGGATTAATTTTTTGCTGATGCATCATGGACAAAATTACTAATCGAATTCTACCTATAAAACATCTCAGGAAGCACAGACTAGTACATTATAAATGTTTTTTCACTACATTTTTAATATTTCTTACGTACATCAGTGTTACTATTGACTCTGTGCCAAACAGAAGAGGCATGACTAGATTTCAAAATCCCTCTAAAATACCCTTTCAGTGCATATGGCTAAAGGGAGAAAACACTGTTCAACTCACAAGTATGAAGTTTGAAACTTTAGTACCAGAAAATAAGAATGCTATTCTTACTGAGTCACTTGTTAAAAATAGAATAAAATTACATGTATGTATTTATACATACATGCTTACTGACAGAGTGGACAGCAAAATAAAAGAACAGGAAGGTCAGATTGCAGAAGGTTTGTTGTACTTTAAAATGGAATTAATAGATTCTTAAAACAATCTCATATTTGATTTCAAAACCGGAAAATAAATAAATAATATGAAACCAACTTCTACAATGTTAGAGTAAGAAAGATGATGTTTTCTTAACCCACACTATTTGTAAAGGTATAAGCAATAATAACTGAACTACTAGAATCATAGAATCACAAAATGGCTTGGGTTAGAAGGGATCTTAAAGCTCACCTGGCTCCAGCCCCCAGCCATGGGTGTGGACACCTTCCACCAGACCAGTTTGCTCAAAGCCCCATCCAGCCTGGCCTTGAACGCTTTCAGAGATGGGGAATCAGTTTCTCTGGGCAACCTGGTCCATTGCTTCACCACTCTCATACTAAAATATGTCTTCTTAATATCTAACTTGAATCTGTCCTTTTTTAGTTTAAAACCATTACTCCTTGTCCTATCACTAGACTACCTCACAAATAGTCCCTCTCCTGCTCTCAAGTTAATATTAAGTCAATATTAGTTAAAACAATTTTACCATAGAATTGCTGCAGTAGAAACATGAGTCCATTCCCTCCTTGAACATACGGTTCCCATAATGGGTTTTACACATGGCCTGTAATTTCTGAGAAACTTTCTGCAAAGTCCAGGAAATTCATGATGCCACAACAATGACTAAAACATAAAAGATCAAAATGACCCATGGTCAATATGTCTATGGAACAAATGTCACTCACTGTGACTTCTACTTAGAAATTATACTGATAGCCATAGAGTGATTTAAATTCCAAACAATAAAATTGCCTTTCTAATGACTTCATTGTCTATTAAATTTAAAATAATACATTGGAAGGGAAAAACAGGTCATGCATTGTTTCTACCTTCACAGTATGGATTTGATTCAGTTGCCTATACTTAGATGCACAGGCCTGTATCAAGATGCTCTTGGGAGGCCAAAGGAGTAGCAGAAAAGGCACAGAAGCTATGGAAGGTCTGTATCCTTCCCGAGTCATCCAGAGGCAACTGAGGGCATCTTGAATGGTGCTAAATGCCTACAGGAGTCAATTTGAAAGTAGACTCTACACTGGGATTCAGCTCCAGACTGGGACACCCTGCATGACAAAGATGTGTCTTCAGGTGGGTGCCAAGCACCCATTACCATCAATGGATTCAAGAGAGTCACTGCTTTCATCCTTGGGTCAACACCTACACCATACCCTTTGAGCAGCTCCCCAGCTTCTTCTGACTCTGGACAAGACTTGCACTTGATTGCAAGCACGGGCATCCAGTTCACACTGCAGACATGATCTCAGTGGTCTGAATCAGGAGCCAAATTCCACCCTGAAGTTAGGTGGGATGATTACCAGCATGTGGACCTCGGTTTCACCTACCTAACTATAGGCAAATGAGCTCAACTGAATATTGCTAGGACAATAAGTGTTGTGGGGTCTTTCATAGTCAAAGCAAAGAGGCAGATACCTTCAGAGACTGATTCAGTTGAATGCCTGGTTTTGGATGAGACTAACCACAACTTCCTTTATCCTCCAAAGCATAAAGGTACCTGCTCAATCTCTTTTAACAAGGGCTGTAGCTGACTTATACAACCATATGCTCATATTGCCATTGGCTTTATTTCCTTCTCCTGTCATCTTCCTATACTGTTCATTTATGTTTTCTTTCCTAGTGACTTATAAACCTTAATTCCTATCTTAATCACTTTCTTCAACAACACTTATTACAAGGTTAAGAGAACACTGTATGATAAAAGAGTAAAAATAATGGTGGCTGATACTTAATTAGAACAAAATTCAGCACACTGAGGTACAGCTATATTCACTGGCACTGAACAGCAATCTGATTTATCCCAATACTCAAGTCTACCAACAAAGCAGTACAAGCAATCAAGTTATAGATTCTCTTTGTCTGTCCTGTACTTAACAAAGTCCTGATAATTTTATTACATGTGGATAAAAATGCCCTTAAAAATTTATTGCATCTTGATAATTTTGGTTTTGCATAAAACCAAAAGCACTGTTTTACAAATCCCAATGCCAGACCAATAGTAAAGTTAGCATCAAAGTTTTCTTGCAAAGAGCCCAATAAATCCTATTTTAAGAAACATATGAAAAATATCAAATATAAAAAGTGGGAGTTTTGCAGCAGAAGAAAAGAATTAGAAGGAGAATACTTTTAAACCTACATCACCAGAAAAAAAAAAAAAAAAAATGTTAGCATCCATGGAGTGGAGGAATACTTGGGTACATGGGAAAAACTGCATGTCGGCCACTTCTGGAGCTTGCTGAACACTGAACGCTAGTCAAATGCTAGGCCAAAAATGTCAACTTACTAGCAGAGAAATTCAAAGAATAGGATTACCTTGTTCCAATCTAAAGCATAGGGAACGTTTTGCAGCCTCTATCTCAGGACTTGGATGATCCAGAACACGTCTGCACCACTGCAGAGGGCTCAGTGATTTTTCTTGAAGGGTAAGAGTCTTGGTAGGCAAGACATACAACCTTAACCAAAATACACACAAATGTCAGCAAGATAAGCAATACTTAAAAGTTTACTTTTGTATTCTCAGCTTTCTGCTCTCTAATAATTTATAACAGTGCAAATCTGCAATACACTAATAACAAAATACATTCCAGAATAAAACTTTACACTCGTTCACTCGTTTTCTTGCCTCCTCAGAAAACTAGGCGACAAATTACAAACTCTACAGGTCCAGAACTTCAAATCTAGGTTCTATTAGACTTCTTCTAAAAATCTTGCAACACATTATTACCACCATCAGAATTTCAGCATGGCCCAAAGTTCAAATGCATTAGGTGCTCTAAAGAAGCTACCATTTCTCCCTTCTATATTTATCTTTACTGGAGATAAGATAATTTCAGCATTTGAATTTACATTTGAATCACAATTTCATTGTTACCCACTTCATACTTTTACCTACGATTTGATCAACTTGTCAGGATGCTGGTTATAATGTAATTTTTATACACACTATCTTCTCCTACTTGTACAGCAGTCTTTTTTTTTTTAAGATTAGAAAACATCCATTGAGAAACAATGAAAACCTCATTTTGATATTCAATTCCTGCAGGGGAAAAAAAAAAAATATGCAAGAACTAGTACATATGTGTTATTCTCAGACTACAGCAGGCAACTAATCAGATGGTCAAGCACATTAGGAAGCCAGGTATCAAAGCGGATTGCTCGGGTAAATTCTTGAAGCTGGAATCTGTGCTGCTGCTTCAGTCTTCATAGATTAGTACGTCAGCTCACCTGGGAGAACACAAATCTCCCAGGATGTAAACTATTATTAGCCACCAAAGATGGCTTTCAGCTCCTTGGCCTTACCACTTCTGATTAACGTGACTGCAGACAGTCTTAGGTTTTTGGCACCAAAACACTCCACAAACTGTAAAGGAATTTGGCATCCAAATAGGGGGTGAAAAAGGCAAGACAACAACAGCAATAAAACGATTGAACCTCTAGGGTGCCCACTTTCAGTCTTTCATCTTTAGGGTTTTGGTTCAACAGCTACCCAGCCCTGAGCGTAACTCTTCTCCCATGTCTGCTCAGTGTCTTATTTATGTGAAGTGAATCAGCACTCCCTGTCCAGCTCACAATGAATAAATCTCTCTGCAATCAGTATCTCCTTTGGCAATTCCAGCTGAGTTCAACTGCTGAATTTCTCTGAGGAGAGGACTCATTTCCCCTTGCTTCCTTGCCGTGCTTGGCTACACATTTAAAAAATTATCCTGAGAAAAACAGAAATGAAAAAAAAAAAAAAGACAAAAGAAATGCTTTGAACTATCCTGCTAAGTTGAGGAACTGTTTCAAAACCTAAACATCTGAGTAATGAATTCTCAATGATCAGATATCTAAAAAGCTGAAAATCAAAAAGAAATTTTCAAAAAGAAGTTTTTATTTGTCTGCAATGATTCTAGTCCTATTTTTTTGTAACTGCAGTAAAAAAAAAAAAAAAAAAAAGAGATCTAAAATTAATAAATCAACAACTAGGATACACAGTGGTCTTTAGCTTTCCAGATATCAGTTTGCTTTGAAGACTTATATTACAAAAAGCCCCAAGCAGCTGACATCACACAGCTGACCATTGATGGACAATGATGGAGATTCAGCCTTGAACAAAAAATGCTGAGCAGCTAAAACAACTCACTCTTAGCAGAATAAGTTATCTAATTCTTCCCACAGACACATACATCCATGACATGTTGATAAGTTTTAACCTCAAGGAAACATTTAGGATTGCTTCCAGGGTGCAAATCAAATAGGACCTCGATCAAGATCATCACTCTGTTGAGGCACATAAAATAATACTTACTTTGTACAGCCCTCAAATATAAATAAGCAGGAACAACATTTTGTTTAACATGACTGGTTCACACAAATTTGACATTCTACAGCACTCAGTGTGAAAGAAAGTTTAATCATTCCTGCTCATTTATCATAAGCAATGGGTTACAGGACTGAGGAGAGTATTCAGATACTCAGGTTCAAGGCAGATTCAAGGCAGGTCCAACAATCCCAAACAGCCCTGAACAACCAATAATGCACACAATGAAGCAGCACTGGCAGAATTTCTATTCAATTTTTGGTTGACTCTTAATTGGAAAAAGCAGTTTTCAAAAACTGAAGCACAGCATTATTTCATACTGTGAATTACACATAACCAACACTGAAGAAATATTTATGGTGTTTGGACTAATTATTAAATCCTATCTCTAGTTCCAAAATAAGGATGTTTATATGTATCTCAGCTGCATTACGCTGTATTTTATTCTAAGCTGACGTAAACTTCCGCTCTATTTAAATACTGTAACCATTCTAAAAGCTATCTTGAAGCATTGATAGACAATTGAAACAGGTTTTTGAATACAGATAATACACATTTTATTACTGACACTTTAATAGAATCGGGCATCAATTATGCTTAACATGGTTACGTAGCATGATTTCCGTAGTAATTCTGCAGGATGTGGATAGTTGCTAAGATGTCTGCATGCTTTGCTGAGGCGAGTTTTGAGGCGCCAGACTTTTAAATGCATTGATATCTTTAGTCTGTAATGACCCCTTCCGCTTGTTTTCAAGGAATCGTTCCTCTAGGTCAAAGCATCTGAGAGCGTTTGGACAATCAGACACATGCTCTGATTTTTTGGGTCGTCCTTTAGGGACGCAGGAGTTGGACTCGATGATCCCTGCGGGTCCCTTCCAGCCCGCACACTGTATGAATCTATGAAATCTATGAATTTTTATTTTCGGCTTTATTATTTGCCGTTCGTTTCTGCTTCATTCTGGGCACTAACGCACTAGCACACCGCCATGCGTCCTGCAACTACACGAGACGCACAAACAAGCCTTTAGATCAGCGCCTAAAAGACAAAAGCCCTCCCAGCTCCCTGAAGATCTGCGACAATCGGGCCGGGGCTTTAGGACGGGGATGCAGCGCTGCCCTGATAACGGACCTCTCGATTTTCATTCCTTATGGAAACCGGAGCCCGAAACCGGGCTGAGACCCAAAACCAGGCGATCCCCGCATCCCCAGGGGTTAAAGATGCGCAGACCGGGGGGCAGCGACCCCTCCGTGCCGCCCCGCTCCCGCTGCCCCCCACCCGTGCCGGGAGCACCTCGGGAGGCCACAGCGGTGCCCGGGGGGTGGCACAGAGCCGTGCCGAGCCGTGCCGTGCCGCGGGGCGAGCCGCACGTACCACGTATCCTCGTCCTGCCCGCAGCATCCATCCTCCAGCTCCAGCACCGCCACCTCGTCCAGCACCGTGGCAGCCCCCGGGGCGCTGTCTTCTTGCCCCCCGCCGCCGGGAGAGGGCTTGAAATAAGCGAGGGGCTCCTGCAGAGTAGGGGGGGGCGCCGGGCTGGGCACGCAGGGCGGCACGGGGGGGCTGGAGGGGCGCAGCCCCCCGGGGGCCAGCAGCAGGTGCGGGCCGGGGGTGGCGGCGGCGGCGGCGGCTCGGCTGCGGAGCTGCTCGTTTTGCTTCTCCAGCTTCCTCACCAGCTCCTGCAGCTTCTTCACCTCCAGCTCGGCGCTGACGGCCGGGCCGGAGCCGCTCCCCTTCACCTCCGCCATCATCGCCGGCTTCAGCAAGGCGGCCTCCATCCTCCCTACCTGCTCCGCCGAGCCGCCGGGGGGCAGCGCCCGGCACCGCGGCTGGGGTGGGGGGCTCGGGGGGGCTCCGGGGGGGCTCCGGGAGCACCGGGAGCACCGCGCCCGGGGCCCTGCGCTGCGCTGTGCGCGGCGAGCGGGATGCGGGTGGGGTCCCCTCCCCTCCTTTCTCTCCCCTCCCTTCCTTCTCCTCTCCTCCTTCTCTCCTCCCCTCCTTCTCTTCCCCTCCCTTCTTTCCCTCCCCTCCCACGGGTGGGGTCCCCTCCCCCGAGTGGGGTCCCCTCCCACTCCGGCAGCCGCCCGGGGAGGGAACAAAGAGGAGCGCGGAGCCCCCCCCGCTCCTCCCCGGCTCGGGTCCAGCCCAAGGATGCTGCCCCCTCTCCCTGAGCCCGGTGGTGGCGGGGCTGTCACTGCGCGGCCTGAAGTGGGGTGGGAATGGGAGTCACAGCCAGGGGTCGTGTCGGGCCACCCATGCAGCCAGAAATGCCAATTGGTGGCATTGAGATGTGGGTTATGGGTTTGGGAGACGCGCTGCTGATGAAACAAGAAGACAGAACAATGCACACAAAAAAAAAAAAAAAAAAATACACGGAGAAATTGGTGATGGGTAGGACAACCCCTGGGATTAAAAATCGCCCCCATATTGAAAGGATTCCCTTTGACGTGGTTCACATGAGCAGATCAATCTGCAATCCTTCATTATCCTTCAGTACTGAAAGAAACCTCCCGTTGCATCCCGCAGCTCAGCCATTACATACCCAGGTCTGGCCCTCACTGGGTTCATTTACACTTACAGGGGACAGCCTCCCGAGTTTCTTACAGCTCTGACACGAAATGCAGACCAAAACTCCAGGAAACACATGGCTTGCCAGGCCAGCCACCACTGAGAGATGTCTGGATCAGTTCATCGCCACCCAACTGCTCAGCACCAGCTTTGGACAGAGTAGCAGCAACAGCAGCCAGCACTGCTGTCAGTGTCCCTATCCTATGTTTGGTGTGTAAGGAGGGACAGGCTTTGCTTTGATTCTCTGTCTAAGTCATAAGTAAACTTGGAAACCGTGCAGCCTGTCCAAGCCTCCCCTCTTTTGTTTACGCTCTTTGAAAAAGAGTCCTTTTTCTGCACGTGGATAGGAAAATGCCACGATTATTTGGTAATCTCTTAAGCACTCTTGCAATGTAAGTAATAACAGCTAGTGCTACGAGAATGGCTGGAAAGGAAGCCAGAGCAGGGAACAAAGCACTGACTTCCAGATGATACGACTTTTACCACTGAAGAGAATACATATAGCCTCCAGTGTAACAGACTGCAAACAGACAGCACTTAATCCAAAATTTTCATTTGGTCTCCTCTGTCCATTTGGAAGAGAGAAGTAGAAAAATGTTGAGAGTGTAAAAAACTCCTGGCCCCAATTCTGCCAAGCATCATCAGAGTAACCTAATCCAGTTTCCACTACTACAGATAGCCATAATCTTTATTCCCCTAAGGAAAAGAAGAATTGAGCTTCTACATGTTTAGCCCCAGGCAACAGGCATATCTCTCAGGTCGTTATCGCTAATAATGGTACTAGTGTTAATTCTTAGAAATACATATGCTAATCCATTAAGATTGTAAAGTGATAATTAGCAGCGTATGCTATATAGAGTTTATTGGACATCAGTAATATACAAGAAAAAAAAAAAAAGGAAAAAAAAAAAAAGCTTATGGTAATGTCAGCGCCTGTGATACAATCAGGCAGAGGAAATATTCGAAAGAGATTCAAAATGGAGTTGTTTTTTCTCTTTTACCCAGACAAAGTTAGACCAACAAAAAGGAAGCAGGTATCTGATTGTTACAGCTTTTAGCTGTATAGTGCTTTTTCATGTTGATAGCACAGGCTTAGCATCAATGAAACTATTAATAATGGATCTGGAAACAGTATTTTGATCACTTTGCCAGCTAGGTTTTCGCTGAAAAGCATAAAACAAATGTCCCAGGCATACAAGCAGACACATTGTCCTCTAACTGCCAGAGCAGGAACATGGCAGTGTGGTCAGGGCCCTTCATTGACAACAAGTCTAATGCACACACCAGTTTGGAGGCAAATCAGGACACAAATCTGGAGATGCACTACAGTATGTAACACCACAGCATGGGACTTTGAGTCACCATGGAAATGCTTGTCCTCAGTTACAAGTAAAAGTAGTTGCAGATCTTCAGCTACCTTCTTCTGTTTGTGCTGTCTACACAAATGTTGTATGCAGACACTTCTTCAGGCAGACTTCCAGAAGAGAAAGAGGTTAGGACCAAGCATAGTGCCTTAGCATGGGCACAAGGACTTTTTCAGGAAGTTCAGCCAAATTGATCACAGGTGGGATAAGGTTCACTACATCTCGTCCCCCAGAGAGCAGGCCAGGAGGTTGGCTCTTCTTTGAGTAGGGCTGCTTTGAACCTAATCTCCATCTGGCAAAAGAGCTTAAACTTGTGCACACTTCAAATGCTGTGCTAATAATCAACGTGAGACACACTGTGTTTTGTTTTGTTTTGTTTTCCAGGTATTTCCTGGATGGTTGGATTTACTAAAGAGTAAAAATCTATTTCACTGTTCTGCTTTTGTTGCTGTATTTCAAATGTATGTAGAATTTCACTAACACATCTTCACCCAAGGGTGCTCATAAACACACTGTTTCATGGTCTTTATGCTGGCTTGCTAGTCTTCTGCAAAGATGGTTTGAACATCATTAAAATATTTTTACCTAACTGTTTAAAATATATATATAGAGAGAGAATATTTGTCATTACTAAAAAAATGTTAACAAGCTCCATTCAGTGTCCCAACACTAGCTGATGAGTTACTGAACCCATAAGCTCTTTACAAAACACAGTAAAGCCTTTATGGTTCCATCCATTTTTATAAAGTTATTGATAAAATGTGTTTTAACACCGACCCCAAACATCTGAGCATGCCCATGAACCTGCTATTCCTGCACCTGAGAAACTAGGGTGGCAGAGAAGGGGCTGATTTTGGCTACTTACATGGCCTGCTCTAGCAGAAATTTCTGAATCGATGTAGTTGCTGATAGACTCCCAATGCAGAGAACAAAGAAGCAGGAAGTCTACAAATCCCATCTGCTCTTCTCTGATAATAAGCCTGTTGCTTTATTCTATAATAGCTGCAGGCTGGACCTGCCTTTCAGGCAAGCCAGTAAAGAATTAATTGCAGTAATCCAGTCTGGGCTATACAAAAGACGTGTTACAATAAGGTCAGAGCACGGATGGTAACCTCCAAGTCTGGTGAGATTTTAAAAGTGCAGCTCCATTCTGAAAAGTGATTATGAAAGTAGCTTTATAAAAATAGAGACACTGAAGTACCAGCAGAAGTCCATCTAAACCAGTAACAAAGACTGATAGCAGCTCCTTAGATAAAAACATACAAGAAGCAAGAAAAATAGTGAGGGATCCTCTCCAGCTTTCAGTAGTCCATGGACTGGGACATCTGGATCGTTAATTTTTTTACAGCTACCAATGTGCAATAATATTACATTTGCTGAGCCCCATTTTTAAACCATTTATGCATTAGGACTCCACAACACCCTGTGGCAATTAGCACTGCAATTTAATTATGCATTGTAAGAAAAGCTACTTCCTATTATCTATTTTAAATCTGCTGCCTTTTAATTTAATTGGGTGTCCCTTAGTTCTGTTTTTCTAAGACGGAATGATTAATCATTCTCTATTCAGCTTCTCTTTTGTCATTCATGACTTATAAAACTCAGTTACTTCTCTTCCAAGCTGACAAGCCCTAATTTATATCGCCTTGCCCCCACAGAAGCCAGGCTGAACTTTCCATTGTTTCCTGTCTCCCCCCATAATAAAAAAATGAATTTTCCAGCCTATTATTTCCTTTTAATTAAAATTCCTTGTTTTCTTATATCATGACAGCTTTGGGAACAACTATGAAAATTTGCTTGTAAATCCCAATATATTCACTTAAAGAAGCCGCCTTAACCAAAAACATATTGATGCCTTCAGATACATTCATGTATTCATGAGCATACCTTGCCTTGAAAAAGCTACACAGAATCTCCAATGTATTATACATATCCAGATGCCTGTGTATTCCATTATTTATTAAAAATTGTACAAATTGGCTCAATAGAAAAGTTGAATTAACTGCAATGTAGTTCCCCAGAGCAGCTTTCATATTTATTCGTGTCTGATGTCACAGCTGATGCTTCCAATTCATTTGACACCAGGCATGCTTTGAGCAATAGGTTAAATGCCCGTGAGAAGTTCAACAATGGGACATTTGAGCTGCTGGAGAATTTTTACATGGGTACTGTCTGGTCCTAGATATTTGTTACAGCTAGACTTACAGATTTGTTCTAAAGTACTTGAGTAGATAAATATTTTCCTGGAGTTACAGTGTGGAACCTTCCTTTTCAATGTCTCTTGAGAACATTTTGCCTTCTTAGTTCTTATTTTCCATTTCCTGCTAATTTACATTATTATTTTTATATAATTTCATTTTTTAAACTACTATAATTCTTTCTGGCTTTTTCCTTATTAAATTAACATTAAACTTAAAGTACATAGCAGTCACTATTAGTATGAATTTTCTACAGAATAAAGTTCAAAACTGCATCATTTTCTCTGAGCCCCAGTTTCTCCAGGAAATCAGTATTTATGATATTATAAAATAATATTATAAAATATTGCCTGTGCAATAAACATCTCTTCCCTTCCCTTCCCTTCCCTTCCCTTCCCTTCCCTTCCCTTCCCTTCCCTTCCCTTCCCTTCCCTTCCCTTCCCTTCCCTTCCCTTCCCTTCCCTTCCCTTCCCTTCCCTTCCCTTCCCTTCCCTTCCCTTCCCTTCCCTTCCCTTCCCTTCCCTTCATAAAGCATCAGCCTGAATCAAGATAGCTTGTTTCTCTCTTATGAGTCTTCACCAAGAATGACAGAAATACAGCTCACAGCTTGTGGATTAGCCCCAGCAGGCAGCTGAGTAGCACACAGCCACTGTCTCACTCTCCCCAGATGGGATGAGGGAGAGAGAGTCAGAAAGTTAAAAGTGTGAGAACTCATCAGCTGAGACACAGGTAGTTTACTGGGTAAAGCAAAAGCTGTGCACACAAGCAAAGCAGAACAAGGAATTCATTCGCTACTTTCCATCAGCAGGCCACCTACATCCCTGATGTTATACGGTATGAGACATC